ATATGCGAGCATCAAAGTACGCAATGCAAAAGATGACAAGGAATCCGTGTCTCAGATGTGTGGAAACACTGCGGGTGGAGGGAGACACTGCTGGTCTCAGCCACTCCGGAGAAGAGTGGAACCCACAGACCCCAGGGCAAGGAGACTCCCAGGGGTCTCCCAGGGGAAGGAGGCTCTCAGGGACCCCGTCCTCAGTGGATGTAGGCTCTCGGGGGTCGAGGGGTGGCACCTCCATACAGCAGCCCTGGCCTCAGGGGGTCCCAACCCTCTGCCAGCCTCTGGGGTCCACAGTCCACTGCCGAGGTTTAGAGGCAACCGCGTGCCAATCCTGGCCATCCCAGTGAATCTGAGATGCAGTGTCACTCTGAAGCATCATCTGGGAACTCCAACCTGAAACAGAACTCACCGTGCAGAGCCTTGAGCAGAGTGGACAGATGGCAAGGAAAGTGGGTGCCAGCTCACAGGCCAGTGTGTTAGAAGTTAGGGGGCTGGGGCTGTGCCACAGCGGGTAAAGCCGCTGCCTGCGGTGCCAGCATCCTACACGGGCGCTGAGTCGAGTCCCGGCTGCTCCACTTCTGATCCCACGCCCTGTTATGGCCTGGGAAAGCAGCAGAAGATGGCCCAAGTCCTTGGGCCCCTGCACCCGCGTGGGAGACCCAGAAGAAGCTCCTGGCTCCTGGCTTTGGCCTGGCCCAGCTCCAGCCGTTACAGCCATTTGGGGAGTGAACCAGTGGATGGATGACTGATCTCCTCCTGTCTCTGCCTCTAACTCTGTCTTTCAAATAAATAAATGAATAACCTTTCAAGTAAATAAATAAAAAAATCTTTAAAAAAAAAAAAAGAATTTAGGAACAACTGGATTGGGGGAAACTGGAACATCAACAGCACCCAAAAACTGAAGTCCTGTGGTATAAATCTAAATACACACACACATTTACTCACAGCACCTGGAGGCACGGTTGGGACGACCAGGTGATGTCTAAGTAACTACAGGTATTCCTCGTGCAGGAGCACAGCACTCACTACTGCCAAGAGAAATTCCTTTCTAGCTTGACCGGCAGAGTCAGCGGAATCCCAATCAAATTCCCAACAGAAGTGCCGGCAGACTGTTTATAAAGCTAGAGTAAACGACAGGAGACTGAGAAGAAACTGCTGATACGCGCACGCCGGCACCCAGCCCCTGCCCCGGAGCTAAGGTACTGAGCAGACGGTGACGGGGCGGTGAATCGACCCACGCAACACAGCCCGTTTGTGTTCAAGGGAGCCAGGACACGTGCGTGGAGAAAGACGCCACTCAGAAATAACCTGAAGAAAATTAACAAAGACGCAAAATTTACAGCTTCCACGAAATTCACTCGCAATAATCCGGACCCCAACTTTCTAATGCAAAGCTGTGACTTCCAGGAGACTTTCCACGGCCTCGGCTCAGAGATGAGCCCTTGGAGAAAGCACCAAAAGCCACCCCGCGAGGAAACAGGGAGAAAGTGGCCTTTACTAGAATGTAAAATGCCCACCCTGCACGAAAATGATTCGATTGTGGAAATGTTTGGAAATCACACCTTGAAAAGACCTTGTATGCAAAGTAAGAAACTAATCACTCAACAGGAAGACGATCCAACAGTGGGTAAGATCAGACACCTCGCCAACACAGGACAAACACAGAAATTAGGGCAGCAGCGCTTGTCCTGGGGGAAGCTGATTACAGAACAGGGAGCGAGCGGTGCACATCTATTACACTGGCCAAAATCTTTAGAAAGATCCATCAGCCATTGCAGTAGGAGCTTTCATTCCCTGCTGGTGGGGTGCGCAGGGGTGAGCAGTGTTTTGTGTCCAGCGACTCTCACCATTACCATCCACCAGAGCCCCTTGGGTGAGGAGACAGCCGTCCAAACAGAAGCCAGGTGAGAGGCTCGATCCGAGTTCCCCCTCACAGCCGAGTGCACACCCAGAGCGGGCTGCACTGTGCAGCAGAACACCATTCGGAAACAGGAACACATGAGGCTGTGCGTCACTATTATTATTTCATTTATTTGAGAGGTAGAGTTGCAGTCAGAGTGAGGGAGAGACAGACAGAGAGGCCTTCCATCCACTGGTTCATCCCCTCCCCAGATGGCCGCAATGGCCAGAGCTGTGCAGATCCAAAGCCAGGAGCCAGGAGCTTCTTCCCGGTTTCCCACGCGGGTGCAGGGGCCCAAGGACCTGGGCCATCGTCCACTGCTTTCCCAGGCCGCAGCAGAGAGCTGGATGGGAAGCGGAGCAGCCGGGACTCGAACCGTCGCCACTATGGGATGCCGGCGCTGCAGGCAGAGGCTTAGCCCACAACGCCACAGCACTGAGCTCACTGGGTCATCCTTAGATCCAGTCTGCGGAAGCTGCACACCGTGCGCCCCCCCCCCCCAACATGGCTTTCTAAGAAAGGCAGAACCACGAGAGCCGCTGCCCGGGGTTCCTGGGGGCAGGGGTCAAACCCCACATGAGGCTTCAGCCTTGGATACCTGCCACTCGACATTTGTCAAAACCCACGGAAATTTACAGTACCAAGAGCGATTCACGAATCCCCTGGGCAAAGCGCATCTCCTCCCTGAGACCCCTCCCTGGCACTGCCCCTCGGGCAGGGGTAGAGCCCTCAGACAAAGCCAAATCCTTGAGGGGGAGGACGTGTCGTTGGATGGAGTGAAGAACAGGACAAAGGATCTCACGGGACCAGAGCTGGGACCAAGCATCGCTGCCAGTGGCGAGCACCGGGCGCTGGCCTAAGAGGTCGCCCGGAAATGAGTGCAATCCACAGGTCAAGGGCAACAGGAACCGTGTGCCACAAGGGAACCATCTACCCGCCACCTGGAACCATGAGTGTCACAGGTGAGGGCAGGAGCCCGGTTCCTCCCGGCTGGCGTGGGAAGCCACAGATGAGCAAGGGGAGAGGGCGAGGGTGCCGGCGGTAACGGTCAGAGCCGGACACCTCTGCTCCCATGCATTCCCAACTAGGCTCATGGCCGTGCAGCAACCTAGCTCCACTCACCCTGCCGGGGCTGCGTCCGGGGGACATCATCAAGCCACAGGTGCGTCTCACTCACCGGGTTGGTTCACTTGCTGCGTCCATGGCTGGAACTTGATTCTGAGTCGTCAACTCGCTTTGGCAGTGCCTGCACCACACACCTGCCTCACTCCTCCTCCGGGGTTTCCTACCCTGCGATACCTCCACCACATAGACGTGAGGCTGCCGCACACACGGGACCAGGCAGCAGCCCGCACACACGGGACCAGCCACAGCACGGGCGCCCCTTCCCAGGAGGCCAGGAGCAGCACGGCCCTTCTCAGAGGGGCCGCGCCACTGCCCCCCGCAGCTGGGGAGAGGACGCCCAGCCCGTGTGGACGACTCGGGAGCCCAGCACTGCCAGCGTCCCTCAGGAGGTCACATCACAGACGCAGGGGCCAGTGTCGCGGCCCCGTCGGGGAAGCCTCCGCGCTCCATGCTGGGACCCTAGCAGAGTGGCAGCTCCAGGCCGGACCCAGCTCCACAGTGATGGGCCCCTGCCGCACGGGGGCGGTCAGCACGCAGCTCCTGGCTCCTGGCTGTGCCCGGCCCGGCCCTGGCTGCCGCAGCCATCCGGGGAGGGAGCCAGCAGGTGGGTAATCTGCTTTTTTTTTTTTCTGTGACTCTTCCAAATAAATAACTACTTTAAAAATCAAAATAATTTTTTTTTAAATTAGCATTTTACATTGTTCCGACTTACTAGGGATTCGTCTGGGGAATAAGACAGGAAACGCTGTGGCCCCACTGAAAGTAAAGCAGCGTTTCGAGTGAGGAAATTCTCCTCAGGAGTCTTCAGGTAGTTCCAGCCCCGTGAGGGGAGCGGCAAAGCTGCACAGCCACCGCGAAGAAGTCCCAGTCGCCAGCGCGGGCCGCAGCGAGAGTGCACGGAGGAAGCGCAAGCAGGGTTCATGCAATCCACCCGGCCTCACCCGCACCTGCCGGACCGGAGACCCGGAGACCGGAGACCGGCACCTGCGGGGGAGGACGCGGAGGCTGAGAAGCGCCGGCGGGCGGGAGATGGAGCTCGGATCTCGCACGCCTCCACGCGCCTCCCACAGTGAGAACGCTCCCACAGGCCTCCCACAGAGGACAGGCCTCCCACTGCGGAACGCTCCCCACGCGCCTCCCACGCGCCTCCCACAGCGAGAATGCTCCCCACAGGCCTCCCACGTGCCTCCCACACACCTCCCACGGGGAGAATGCTCCCCACGCACCTCCCACAGCGAGAACACTCTCCACAGGCCTCCCACGTGCCTCCCACGCGCCTCCCACGGCGAGAACGCTCCCCACAGGCCTCCCACGCGCCTCCCACAGGGAGAACGCTCCCCACGGGCCTCCCAGGAGCGGGCGCGGGCCAGACTCACGCCCGCGTCCCCTGCTGAGGCTGGGAGGCCACCTCTGCCTCTGGCCACAGTCACTGTCCCCCCAAACACCGCGGCCCCTCTGGCTCCGGGAGCCCTCTGGGGTGGCTCTGGCTAGCACAGCTCTTCCCTGCTCCGCCCCAGCTTCCTCCGCTCCGCGGTCGGCACCGGCCCAGCACCAGCACCCCCCGTGTCACCACAGGCACGGCTGTGTTTACTGCGGCTGCTTCCGCTGCCGGAGCCAAAACCACCACTGTAAAGTCATCCTGGCTTTGGAGGCCGCGGCACCTGGCAGGAGAGGGAGGCGTTGGTGGGCGTCAGGCGCCCCTAATCCATGCGATCCTCTTCCCTCAGCTGCCGCAGCCCCCTCCCGTGCGTAGAGGGCACAGCCTGGGACCCCCGGGCTCCAGGGGCCACAACCTGCCCGACACCGTGAGTGCGGCCAAGCCCCCGGAGATCGGCACACTGGCACCCAGGTCGCCCTCCCCCACTTGACCACAGCACCCGGCACGAGACACAGGACGCGGCATCACTCACTCTCCCTGCACGACGGGGACGAGGCCCCAGCAGGGGCACCGACACTTAAATCAATCACACCGCAGAGCTAATTTGACAAACGCACCCTTTACTGCCTGCCCAGCCGTGCAAAGAGCAAACTCTGTGGGTCCCCCTCAGGGACCACTTCCAAGGGCTGGGTCCCCAGGCCAGCAGGCGGGAGGGGCCAGCCAGGGGGACGAGCTCAGGGGAGCCCTGCAGGGACACAGGGAGGGGGCTTCCTACGGGGCCCCTGGGGCCCCGGGGTCTTGCTGACAGCAGGGAGCAGGGGGTCCGAGGGAAGGGGTCAGGGCGAGGCGCTGGGGCCTCCAAGGGCGGAGGGTCTGGGGGCCTGGCCGAGAGGAGCCCACAGGCAGCCAGGGTGCTCGGTGAGGCCTCCACCGGCACCGCCCCGGGACGCAGCTGCCCCACCAGGCCAGGCTCAAGTCCACTCTCTCTGGCTCTGGAGGCCTTCACTGGGGGCACCTGGCAGAGGCCTCCTTGCTGGGGGAGGGTCAGCAACCAGGCCTCTGCCCCCAGCCCCTCCCCACCCCAAGGCCCTCTCAGCCAGGAGAGCACCCCCTGTGTGTGCAGACCCACGGCCCCGCCTCTAGCACTGGCCAAGAGGAAGAGCGGAAGAGGTGGGGCAGCCGGCCTCCTGTCCACCTACGCAGGAGCTGGGCGACCCCCGTCCTAGGGCCGGGCCTCTGCTGCAGGGACAGCACCGGGGACCCACGGATCAGACAAGGGCCCGAGGGTACCACAAATCCACGTGTCCGTCACAGTTTACAGAAACACCTCATCTGCTGGTCCCTTCCGGCCCCAAGGAAGACAGGAGGGACAGCCCCCATCCACCCCCCACCGCACGCACGGGCGCCCGGTCCAGCGGGGGTGGGGCAGGCAGCAGCCCCTGCTCACTGCTCCCGACAGCCTGGGGAGCGGGCGAGGCGCGGCCAGGACCAGGGCCACGGGTCAGGAGGAGGCCGGGTGCCCATAGTGGTTGTGCTCGGCCTCGCCGAGGGTCAGCGTCAGGGACAGGCTGGGCTTCCGCTCCAGCCCCTCTTCTTCCTGGCAGGGCCGCGGAGGCCGGGGCTTGAAGAAGTCTGAGACGTAGCGGACCTGGGAGGAGACAGGGTGGGAATGTGGAGACCGAAGAGGTTCTGGGGTGGGCGGGCCCGGGTCCCCGAAGGGAGCTTTCCGGACAGGGCAGCAGCGGGACAGGGCCCAGAGCTCACAGTGAAACCAGCAACCAGCGCCCCCTGCAGGAGGCCGACGAGAACGTCACTCCAGTGGTGCTTGTGGTCGGACACGCGGGTGTAGCCCACGTACAGCGCGAAGGCCACCAGGAAGAACTGAACCGTGGGCCGCAGCAGCCGTGCCCACTTCCAGCAGAGCCGTGCCTGTACGTACAACTGGGACAGGGCAGGACAGGTCAGCCGGGGTGCCCACCTGTGTACCCCACGCCCACCGAGGCAAGAGAGCGGCTCTGGGAGCCCCAGGGCCCCCCGCCACGTATAAGCAAGCCCGCTGCCCCCCACCCCTGCTCCCCTCACGCACCCACCTGTACAATGGGGACACCAAGGCCAGGACAAGGGGCCGTGGTCCAGCCACGGCTGCCCAGGGGACTCACCGCCAGGAAGGCCATGCAGTACATGCCGAAGGAGGAGTGTCCTGAGTAGAACGACAGCCTGGGGGGGCGGGGACGGGGCTCTGAGAGCGGTCACTCACAGCCCCACCCCCCACCCCGGGAGCTCCTGGCTCCTGGCTTTGGCCTGGCCCAGCCTGGCTTTTGTGGGCATCTGGGGAGTGAACCAGCGGATGGACAAGCTCGCTCGCTCGCTCTCTCTGTACCTCTGCCTTTCAAATATGTAATAAAGTAAGCTTTGAAAAAACACAGCACCTTCTGTGGTGCTCTGGAACCTGGCCACAGCCCGAGGGCTGCACCAGGTCACTGCCCACCGCTCTAGCCAGCCAGCAGCGGCCAGCAAAGAAGGGGCTGTGGCCCAGGGGAGGGTCGAGAGCCAGGGGGGCCCACAGCAGGGCGGCGGCCAGGTGGTGGCTCCCTCGGGTGTGGGCCACAGGGGATCCTCCAGACTGGGGGCCACCGCCCGGGGGCCTGTGTGTCTCAGACTCCTGCAACACAGCAGAGACCAGCGGCCGCCGCCCAGGGCCCTGCACCAGCCAGCGAGCCCAGTGCAGAACCAGGGCTGTGCCCAGGCTCAGCACAGACAGGAAGGGGAGGCGAAGGGGGCGGGGAAACACTCAGGCGCTGAGTACAGCCCGACCTGCACAGGGAGCAAGCCAGGAGCCACAGACCTCATAACGTCAAGCAAGCAGCAATTAAACAAAGACACCGGGCGCGGAGGGCACACAGGAGAGAGGGGACGCGGCCGTGGCAACAGCGACAACACTCACCCGCCTGCGACAAGGCAGGCTGTCCCCGAGCCCCTGTACTGCAATATTCAAGTGCCTGGTTCTCGGATGCACCAGGAACGCCCACGACGCCGCAGCCGCAGGGAGCGGGGGTCGGTCCCTAAAGGCTGGGCTCGGGCTGCCCTGAGAAGACAAACGCTCCGCCAAAGCCAGCCAAGACCCAACAGGACCACGAGAACACGAAGAGAAACAGACATCCCGAAAGGAGGCGGCTGGAAATTCTAGATCTCAAGGGAAAACAATCAGGCCAGGGCTCGGGGCGGGTCGGCCAGGGAGCCTCAGCCTGAAGCAGTGCCACCGCGGCCGACACCGACAGCCACGTCCACGTCCACACCCACGCCCACGCCCACGCCTGGACAGGCCAGGGGCGTGCACAGGGACACTGAACAGTGGCAGAGAATCCCCCGTTCTGGAAGAAGCATTAATCCACACACCCAGAGCTGAAAGAACTCCAAATGCGGCCACTCAGAGGAAACCACACAGCCTAGCCACAGAGCCACAGCCCAGACACAGAGCCAGGGCCACACAGCTCGGCCCCACCACAGCCCAGACACAGAGCCAGGGCCACACAGCCCGGCCCCACCACAGCCCAGACACAGAGCCGGGGCCACACAGCCCGGCCCCACCACAGCCCAGACACAGAGCCGGGGCCACACAGCCCGGCCCCACCACAGCCCAGACACAGAGCCGGGGCCACACAGCCCGGCCCCACCACAGCCCAGACACAGAGCCGGGGCCACACAGCCCGGCCCCACCACAGCCCAGACACAGAGCCGGGGCCACACAGCCCGGCCCCACCACAGCCCAGACACAGAGCCGGGGCCACACAGCCCGGCCCCACCACAGCCCAGACACAGAGCCAGGGCCACACAGCTCGGCCCCACCACAGCCCAGACACAGAGCCAGGGCCACACAGCCCAGACACGAAGCCATATAGTCCAGCCCCACCAGAGCCCAGACACAGGGCCACACAGTCCAGACACAGACCCGGGGCCCCACAGCCCAGCCCCACCACAGCCCAGACCCGGGGCCACACAGCTCAGTCCCACCACAGCCCAGACAGGATCAGAACCGCACAGGGCTCAGCCCACCACAGCGACGGGGCCGGCAGTATCTGAGAAGGGGACTCATCAGGCACAAGGGACTCTAAATCACAGCCACAGCGTGTTTTTTTTTCTTTTTGAGAAGTAAATATTTTTGTTTTCAAATACTTATTAATTTATTTGAAAGGCAGAATCAGAGAGTATCTTCCACCCATGGTTCACTTCCCAGTGGCTGAACAGTGGAAGCTGCGCTGACCCGAGGCCGGGAGCCAGGAGCTCCATCCAGTCCCCCACGTGGGTGCAGGGCCCAAGCACTGGGCCCTCCTCCACTGCCTTCCAGGCCACAGCAGGAGCTGGTCTGGAAGTAGCCACGGGGCTCGAACCGGCGCCCACGTGGGCCACGGTGTTGCATGTGGCCGCTTAGCTCACTGTGCCAGAGCTGAGCCCAGGAGTCCTCCATCTGCCACGCTGCCCTCCAGAAACCACGGTGACCTCAGCCACGACGACAGAATGCAAACACCACGCGGCTCCTCGGCGGGGCATCAGTCCACCGCACGCGCCGGCGACGGCAGCCACGGTCTCCTCCCACACCAGGAACACCACGCAGCTCCTCGGCGGGGCATCAGCCCACCGCATGCGCCGGTGACGGCAGCCACGGTCTCCTCCCACACCAGGAACACCACGCGGCTCCTCGTGGGGCATCAGCTCACCGCACGCGCCAGCGACGGCAGCCACGGTCTCCTCCCACACCAGGAACACCACGCAGCTCCTCGGCGGGGCATCAGTCCACCGCACGCGCCGGCGACGGCAGCCACGGTCTCCTCCCACACCAGGAACACCACGCGGCTCCTCGGCGGGGCATCAGTCCACCGCACGCGCCGGCGACGGCAGCCACGGTCTCCTCCCACACCAGGAACACCACGCGGCTCCTCGTGGGGCATCAGCTCACCGCACGCGCCAGCGACGGCAGCCACGGTCTCCTCCCACACCAGGAACACCACGCGGCTCCTCGTGGGGCATCAGCTCACCGCACGCGCCAGCGACGGCAGCCACAGTCTCCTCCCACACCAGGAACACCACGCAGCTCCTCGGCGGGGCATCAGCCCACCGCACGCGCCGGCGACGGCAGCCATGGTCTCCTCCCAGACGCCGCTTATACATTTAGTTATTTCAAAGGCAGAGCGACACAGAGAGAGATCTTCCATCTGCTGGTTCATTCCCCAAACGGCCACAACGGCTGCGCCCAGACCAGGCCGGAACCGGGAGCCAGGAACTACACCTGGGTCTCCCACGTCAGTGGAACAGGTGCGAGCACTCGGGCCACCCCCCACTGCTTTCCCAGGCCATTAGCAGGGAGCCGGGTCGGAAGAGGAGCAGCCAGGACTCGAACCGGCACCCACGTGGGGCGCCAGTATCATGGTGGCGGCTTTCCGGGCTGCAGCACGGGGCTGGCCCCCACGTGACCCAGCCAACGCAGAGGTGACCTGTGACGGTACACCACAGGGACGAGACAGGCAGAGAGACGTTTGCATAATATTGGAACTCAAGTGGTATTCATCTGAAATAGATGTTTAAATATTCATATATTTTTATTTATTTGAAAGGTAGAGACAGAAAAACATACACAAACCGGCCGCCACCGTGGCCCAGCAGGGTGAGCCGCCACTGGCAACGCTGCCAGCCCATGTTGGAGTTCTGGTCGGAGCTCTGGCTACTTCACTTCCTGCACAGCTTCCTACTACTGCGACAGCCTGGTAGTGACAGCCGCCGTGCTCGGCCCCTGCACCCACACGGGAGACCCAGGTGGAGCTCCTGGCTCCGGGCCTTGGCCTGCCCACAGCTGGCTTTTGCAGCCACTGGGGGAGGGAAGCAGTGGATGGAAGCTCTCTCCGCCTCTCCCTCTCTGTGACTCTGCCTTTCAAATAAATAAATAAATCGGGGCGGGGGGGGATAAAGGATTCCAGCAGCAGTGGGAGTGGACCTGGTGTTTCAGGCCCCGGGTCCCCCTGCACCCACCTGGCCTCGGTGACGTTGGCAGGGCTCCCCCTGCACACCTTGTCCAGCTGCACGTACGCCGAGCAGTTCACCTGGCTCCAGTCAGGGTCGCACACAGCCAGGAAGTTGGGGCGCAGGCGGCCGATCATGTACTTGGCCAGGTCCGTCAGCGACTGGCTCACCGCAGCCCCAAACAGGAAGGTGCCCAGCACCTTGTACACGGCCGCCACGTAGTTGTTGAACTCAGAGCGGGAATAGAGACGGTCTGTGTACACCAGGTAGGCCTCCCCCGCCGACACCTGCAACAGCAGCGGCCGGGCCCCGCTGGGCTGCAGGGCCCACACCGGGAGGCACCGCGAACCCGCGACCTCCCCCACCAGACACCCAGGCCGGGTCTTTGCCCCGCCCCCACCCCACCCACCCCCGGCTTACGAGCACCACAGTGGCTGTGATGATGACCCCGGCCATGAGCCCGTGGGTGATGGTATCTGGGCGGTAGGGGTACCGGATGGACTCATCTTCACAGTAGAATCCGCGCTTGTACGGAGTGTTCACCAGCGTGAGGACGGCGAAGGGCAGAGAGGCTGGGGCAGGGAGAGAGGCAGAGAGGCTGGGGCTCCCTCCCCCACGCGCCCACCCCTGCTCTGCGGGGTCCTGCAGCCAGGAGCTTTCCCGGTCCCGGTGGGAGCTGGAGCCAGCACCCTGGGCACACGCGGCTCCTCCCAGGCCACCTGCCCCTTTCTGCTCCTGGACAAACAGTGCCACCCAGCCCTCCGTACGGGGCCCCAGCACCTCCCTCCTGCCTCGGCTCCGCCTGCCCGCCGACCCCCGGGTACCACTATCCAGACAGACTTCACAGTCACTCGTGGGACACGCCTGGATGTCCCCCCATCCTCCCACGAGCACCAAGGGCCTGTGGTGCCCAGGGCAGAGTCCCGGGGCCTGCTCGAGGCCTGGCCAGAGCAGGTGTTTAATGGGCTCCAGAGCTGGCCACGGAGTCAGAAACGCACCCGGGCGGGGCACGTGCCGGCTGTGAGGACCTCACACCTGCACCTGCTCCCCAAGTGACCCTCCAAGAGCTGGCCACACGCTCCCTGGCCGCAGGGCACTCAGCGTGCAGGGACCACAAGCAGCACTGTTAGGAAGGCACGGCCACCAGCACCAGGGTCCCCAGCCCTGCTGGGCCAGGGGTGGCTGGGGTACTGCAGCCAGCAGCACAGGACCTGGGCAGGGGCAGCTCCCACCCCAAGCATTAGGAAGTCAGGAAAACCCCAGGTCAGTTCCAAGAAGGCACAGTCTGCAAGGCCCTTTGCCCCAGGGGGTGGCCGAGGCTGACAAATGTAGGAGGGCGTAGGAGGGCGTAGGAGGGTGTAGGAGGGCGTGGGCCTTGAACACAGAGGGGACAGGAGAGGGGCGGGGCTTCCACACGCATGTACCCATGAGCGCACACACAGCCTGCAGCAGGACAGCCCAGGGCTAGGCAGAGGCTGAGGCATCGCATCACATGACCCTCAACAGCACAGCCCAAGTGGCCAGGGTCACAAGGATGGACCCCAGGCCCTCGGCACCAGATGTCTTCCTTTGGAACCCAGAGCCCAACCTGGTCGGCTCCACCCCACTTCCGCGTGCACTGTCCACTGCCCCACGGGCCGCAGGTCAGCAAGGTAGGAGCTCCCAGGCTGGCCCGGCTGCAGGGTGGAGAGGGTTAATTATTTACTCCATTTCAGCCCGGCGGGCAGAGAGCGCCCAGAGTTTAGATAAATGACGCAGGTGCTCCGGACACCGTGCCCAGGGCCGGGGGGAATTCCTGCTGCCCCTAGGCCACTCCCAGAGGGGCGTCCTCTGAGACAGGGAGGGGGCCAGGGCTCCACGACCCTCCCCTCCCTCGCCCAGCGCAGAGGCGGGCACAGGCCGAGGGGCGGGCGCCGGGAACCGGGACCCTGGGCAGAGTTTCGGGACCGCGGCTGCGAGCCCAGGACAAATCCGAGCCTTTGTCCAGAGGACCCCGGGGCGGGGCGCGCAGCGGGCAGGGGGCTTGGGAAGCCCCCTCCCCCACCTGGCCAGGGAACCGGCCCGACAGGTTCGTCCCCGTCCGCCCCGGGGGCCCGACTTTGCAGAGCCCGCGGGGAGGGCGCGGCTGGACCTGCCCAGCCCGCGCAGGGATCGAGTCCCGGCCAGCGCACAGGGTCCGAGCGCGCCGGGAGCGCCGACCCCCGGCGCCCGCGCCCCCTGCCCGGGGCCCGCCCGCGCCCGGTCGCCGCCCGCGTGAGTCACCGCCCGCCCGGCGCAGGGCCAGGGGGAGGCGCGGCCCCTGCGCGGCCACTTCCTGCCGCGACGAGCCGGGTACGCGCCGGGCCCCGGGGCTCGGGTCTCGGCGACCTCCGGCCGCGCCAGAGCGTCGCGGGGAACAGCTGGACCCGCGCAGGGCGCGTGGGGCGGGCGCCGAGTCCCGGCCGCCGGAGCCGCCCGGCCCGAGCTGCGCGCCCGCCCCGGGGGTCCCCGAGCCCTTACCGACCAGCACACACAGCACGTCCAACAGCACGAAGACCCAGCTCCGCCGCATCTCGCCCGCCGGGCGCCCCGCGCCCCCGACGCCCGTCCCAGCGCGACCCGTCGCGGCTCGGCGCCGGTCACATGGCCGCGGAGCCCGCCCCGTGCGGGCAGGGCTGGACGGGGGCGCGGCGCGGCGGGGCGGGGCGCCGAGGGCGGCGCGTGCGCGCGCGCAAGGGGTCCCCGGACGGGCGCGGGTGGGAGGGGTCTCGGAGCAGGGCAGGGAAGGGGTCTCGGGGCGGGGCCCCCACGACAGACGCGGGTGGGGGGGTCTTGGGGCGCGGCGGGACCCCCACGACGGGTGCGGGCTTGGAAGGGGTCTTGGGGCGGGGTCCCCGGACGGACGCGGGTGGGAGGGGTATCGGGGCGGGGTCCCCACGACTGACGCAGGTGGGAGGGGTCTTGGGGCGCGGCGGGACCCCCACGACGGGCGCGGGCATGGAAGGGGTCTCGGGGCGCGGGCATGGAAGGGGTCTCGGGGTGGGGCCCCCACGACGGACGCGGGTGGGAGGGGTCTTGGGGAGCGGCGGGACCCCACGACGGGTGCGGGCTTGGAAGGGGTCTCGGGGCGGGGTCCCCGGACGGGCGCGGGTGGGAAAGGTCTTGGGGCGCGGCGGGACCCCCACGACGGGCGCGGGCTTGGAAGGGGTCTCGGGGAGGGGTCGCCGGACGGACGCGGGTGGGAGGGGTCTTGGGGCGCGGGCATGGAAGGGGTCTCAGGGCGGGGCCCCCACGACGGACGCGGGTGGGAGGGGTCTCGGAGCAGGGCATGGAAGGGGTCTCGGGCGGGGCCCCCACGACGGACGCGGGTGGGAGGGGTCTTGGGGAGCGGCGGGACCCCCACAACGGGCGCGGGCATGGAAGGGGTATCGGGGCGGGGTCCCCAGACGGACGCGGGTGGGAGGGGTCTTGGGGAGCGGCGGGACCCCCACAACGGGCGCGGGCATGGAAGGGGTCTCGGGGCGGGGTCCCCAGACGGACGCGGGTGGGAGGGGTCTCGGAGCAGGGCATGGAAGGGGTCTCGGGGCGGGGCCCCCACGACGGACGCGGGTAGGAGGGGTCTTGGGGAGCGGCGGGACCCCACGACGGGTGCGGGCATGGAAGGGGTCTCGGGCCTGGGCCCCCACGACGGGCGCGGGCTTGGAAGGGATCTCGGGGAGGGGTCCCCGGACGGACGCGGGTGGGAAAGGTCTTGGGGCGCGGCGGGACCCCCACGACGGGCGCGGGCTTGGAAGGGATCTCGGGGAGGGGTCCCCGGACGGACGCGGGTGGGAAAGGTCTTGGGGCGCGGCGGGACCCCCACGACGGGCGCGGGCTTGGAAGGGATCTCGGGGAGGGGTCCCCGGACGGACGCGGGTGGGAGGGGTCTGGGGCAGGGCATGGACGGGGTCTCGGGCGGGGTCCCCGGACGGACGCGGGCATGGATGGGGTCTCGGGGCGGGGCCCCCACGACGGGCGCGGGCTTGGAAGGGGTCTCGGGGCGGGGTCCCCGGACGGACGCGGGTGGGAGGGGTCTCGGGGCAGGGCGAGGACCCAGCGCCGCCCTACCCAGCGCCCGCGGACCCCCACCCCCTTGCACTGATCAAGGTTTCAGCCCCGCGTGGGGGCGGCGGCGAGAGCGCTCGCAGGAAGCCAGCCCGGGACCAGCCCCGCGCCTGTGACCCGAGTCTGGTGTGTTTATTTATTTTTAAAAATTTATTTATTTTGAAGAGAAAGTTCTCCATCCTCTGGGTCACTCCCCGAATGGCCGCAACGGCCGGTGCTGGGCCAGGCCGAAACCCGCGTGGGTGCGGGGCCCGAGCACGCGGGCGTCCTCCGCCGCCTCCCGGGCAGTCCGCGGGAAGCTGGCTTGGAAGTGGAGCGGCAGGACTCGAACCCACCCCACCCCCCGCAGGTCCTGGGGAGCCGGGAGCCTCGCGCCTGGGGGTCGGGGCCACCCAAGCCGGGGGAGCTGAAGTCCGTAGCACCCACGGCCCCAGCGCCGGACGCACCGGCGGCCACCCCCGGACGCTCTGCGGCAACTACCCCCCATCCTGGAGAGCCGTCGCCGACGGCCCCGGGCCGGCTACCGAGGGAGCAGCGTCTGGGGCGGGGGGAGTCCCCAGGACCCCACACGCGCTGGCCAGGCCGCCGCCGATGTCCCGCGTGGGCGCGCGCGTGCCTTCGTTCATTCGTTCACGCATACAGAGCACAGGCCTTCGGGGTTGTGGGAAAAGTCCGGTAAGGCACGTGCGGGGATGCGGGGTCCCAGCGCCTTCGGGGACTCCGGGCTACGCTGGGGTTCCGGGGGCCGCGGTTCTTTTGTCGAGCACCTGCTGCGTGCGGGGGGGGGGGGGGTGCCGGGGCCCAGAGCCGAGCAGAGCCGGGAGCGGAAGCTGCAGGGGCCCCTCCCGCTCCTCCCTCCCGTCGGGATTTGGGTCAGTCCTTAAAATCCCTCGGCAGGGTCAGGATTAGACTGCGGCGAAGATTGGGGTCAGACCCCGGGTCACCTCCCACATCTGTTAGCTGGGTGGCCCCTCTACACCAACGCGCCCAGGAGGGCGCAGGGTCCTGGCTTCCCTACCTCCAGATGGCAAATTTGGAAAAGGGACCGGTGGTGAGGGCCCCGAGCCCACACTGCGTCCTCCAGAGACAGGGCGGCAGCTGTGCCGCCCGGGGGCCCCCGCCGACCTCATAAGGGGCCCCCAGGAAGACTGACGGCCTTGCCCAGTAAAGCAGGTGCCACCCAAGGGGACTACCACCCTGCCTTGGCTGCCCCCCAGCCTGCTCCTCCCCCCTGGGGCCAAGGCATCAAACGCAGGTGGTGGGCAGGAAAGCCTCATGGGTGGGTGGTGGGGAAAGCCAGGCCTCTACCCACAGCCCCATTGGGTTGCCGGAGGATTCCGTGGCCTGGGAAATGCTGGGGAAGCACCAGGGCGGGTGCCCGGCGGACCTGTGAAAGGCACCGCTTCCTGCGTGCACGGCTTTCCAAGTTCGAATCCAGCGCCCGTGACCTTGGAACCCCCAACTGCACACTGCTAGCTGGGATTTTTTTTTATTTATTTATTTATCTGAAAACTCAGAGCAGCAGAGAGAAACCTCCCACCTGCTGGTTCACCGGCAAATGGCTCCGACGGCCAGGGCTCGGCCGGGCGGAGTCCTGGAACCAGGAGCTCACCCAGGTGGCAGCGCCCTGACATGGATGCCGGCCCCGCAAGCGGGCGCTCAGCCCCTGTGCCACAACACCGGCCCCAGCCAACCTTGGGCACACACAGCTTCTGGCATCAGGGGTAAGGGGACCCTGTAGGTTTCAGCTCCGAGCAGCCGGCATCCCAGGAACCCCTCAGTCCCGCCCCTCAACTCCAAACACACCCCGGGCTGTTGTCTAGTTTCCCAGAACAGGAACCAGTGACTCCTGGAAGAGCTGGGACTGCCCGCGGGGCCAAGGGACTTCCCCTGGGGGTTGACTGTGTGCCCCCAACACAGGGGGGTTCCACCAGCTTCTCCTGCCCAGGGGCCGAACTGTGACAGCCTCACCAGGCAGGGACCCACGCGTTTCCTGGGTGCTAACTGCTAACTATGGGGCCACCTTTCAAAATCTGCACAAGCCATGGGCGCCCACAGCAAAGGCTCCAGTCTGGGCCAGGTGGGCACACAGGTGCCCTCTGCTGGACGCACACCTTCCTGCACCTGCAGGAGTCCGTTCCTCCTGGAGACAGGGACAGAAGATCCTTGTGACTGAAGTGGACTTCAGAAGCTCTCAAAGGGGCCAGTGAGCTAACTGGACACCTGCGGCGCTGGCATCCCGCCTGGGCACCAATTCCAGTCCTGGCTGCTCCGCTTCCATCCCAGCTCCCTGCTGTTGGCCTGGGAAAGCAGCCAAAGGGGCCAGCGCCATGGCTCACTTGGTTAATCCTCCACCTGCAGCGCTGGCATCCCAAATGGGCCCCGGGTTCTAGTCCCGGCTGCTCCTCTTCCAGTCCAGCTCTCTGCTGTGGCCCGGGAGGGCAGTGGACGATGGCCCAGGTGCTTGGGCGCCTGTACCCACATGGGAGACTGGAAGGAAGCACCTGGCTCCTGGCTTCAGCTCAGCACAGTTCTGGCCGCAGCGGCCATTTGGAGGGTGAACCAACAGAAGACCTTTCTCTCTGTCTCTCTCTCGCTCGCTGTCTATAACTGTCAAATTAAAAAAAAAAAAAAAAAAAACCACAAGCAACAGAAGATGGCCCAAGTGCTGCATCCCCTGCACCCACGTGGGAGACCCGGTGGAGCTCTTGACTCCAGACTTCGGCCTGGGCCAGCCCCAGCCACTGTGGCCATTTGGGGAGTGACCCCACGGATGGAAGCACTCTAAGCCTTTCAAATACTCTTTTTTTTAAAGTTGATGAAAATGCGAGTTTTTCCTGAAGTGTTTGGAGTCCCTGATACTGCACAGGGTATCTTCATCCTAACATTTTCACACAACTGTTGTTCCCATTGACTTATCTATAAATTAAAAATCAGTAATACATCCATTTGAGGACAGTCAGCTCTTCCGCTGCCTGGTTCACACCCCGAATGCCCACAGCAGCTCGGGCCGGGCCTGGGCCTAAGTCAGGGTCAGGAACCCGATCCCCACTTCCCCCGAGGGTGGCAGGGACCCATGTACTTAGTAGCAAGAAGTTGCCATTAGGAGCAGAGCTGGGACTTGAACCCAGGCACTGTGCTGTGGGACGCAGGTGTCCCAGGCAGTGCCTTAGCCGCTGCATGCACCTGGCGACCCTGCAACCCAGGCAAAGGCCCCCGCAGGGTCAGGCCTCAGGCCCAGACAGCCCAGTGGGACGGGCAGACCACACCGGGGAGCAGCAGCTGGCCCAGGGCCACGGGCTCTGAGCAACCACAGAAGTCGCCCCGAGAAGCCTCCTCGCTCACCCAGGCCCCACTCTGCCCAGACCTCCTGGTTCGGCTGGGGTGAGGCAAAGCTTTTCCTACCGCCATCCAAGAGCGGAGGACGGTGTGTTCCCCGTGGCTCCCACAGAGCCGAGACCACCGCCTGGACCCAGGTCTGGGCTGCAAGTGGACACAGTGCAGGCGGCAGGAGCTCGGCGCCACCTTCCGACCCAAAGCAGAGGTGAACATGGGATCCCGGCAGCCGCAGGCCAGGAGTGGGGGTCTCCCTTCGCCAGCTCAGCAGCCCCTCTGCGCTCCACCTGCAAGAGCAGGAAGCAGACACCCTGAGGTTCCTGGCAGTCTCTCCCCGCTCCGGCCCGTCTCCCCAAACCCTGCTCTGCCCTGCCCTGCCCAACGCCCGTCCCTTGGTCTGAAGGAAGAGGCCTGTCTCCTCCCGCCCTGCCGCCTCGGAGGCCTGTCCAGGCCCCTCGCCTGGCCAGCTGACAGGAACAGCCCCAGGGACAGCTTTTATCAGGGATGTGCTGGACACACACACAGGCTCAGCGCCGTCACTGAGGGGCAGGCGGCAGGAGACGGTGGTGGTGCCCCTGCCCAACCCCCAATCCTGGCCCTGAAGCCACTGGCTGACCCACAGCCTAACTCCGCCCCCTGCCTCCTCTCAAGCAGAGATGGGCAAGGTCTGTGACAGCCGGGCCCGTGGGGTCACTGGGCGGCCTGGCCGGGCGTCGGCACGACCCAGACCGGCCCAGAGACCTAAAGTGACCATCCCTGGGGCCGGCGTGGTGGCGTTGCCTGCGATGGCGGCACCCCTGTGCGAGCACCAGCTGAGTCCTGGCTGCACCGCTTCCGACCCAGCTCCCTGCTGACGCGTGGGACGGCTCCAGTGCTCGGGCCCCTGCACCCACGCGGGAGCCGGGTCCAGCCGCTGCCACTGCAGCCACCCAAGTAACGCAGTGGATAGGAGGCAGAGGGTCACTCTGCCTTCATGATCAGTAACAATCGTAACATAAAGGACGGACGACATGGCGGGAGGAGGCATGGGACCCACAGAGGCCTGCACACGGCCGTTCCCAAGCGGCCCAGGATGTGCTGTCCATGTCCACGTCCACGCACTGCGACATGCGTTAACAAGGGACGCTGACAGCTGACCGTCCCCAGCAGGGCCCACCAAGCAGCACTGCCACTGAGACCCTCCCCGGCAGCCAGCTGCTGCAGGAGCCGCCAGCGGGACACGAGGCCAGCACTGCTCATGCCAGCGACTCGCAGCGCAGCCACGCCGGCCACATGAGCCGGAACCAAGCTCCTCGGTGGGCCCAGAGGAGCCTGTACCACACGGGCGCAACGGAGACTAGTCTCCTCCAGGGGGTGAGCACACTGGGCGTCCCTAGAAATGGGGAACCTGAAGGGAGAGCCGGGGTGGGGACACAGACCTTCCACCGCCGACTTTTCAGATGGCCACGACCACCAGGGCGGGGCCGGGCTGCAGCCAGGAGCCAGGAGCCAGGAGCCAGGAGCCAGGAGCCAGGAGCGGGTGCAGGCCCCGTCCTCCTGCCTTTCCAGGCACAGAGCAGGGGACTCCTCCGTGGGATGCCGGCGCTGCGCCACCGGGCCAGCCCAGTGCCTACTACCTAAATGCACACACGGCAAGGACAAGGGGTGGCCGGGAGCAGCGCACCCTGACCCTGACCCTGATCCGCAGCACAGGGGCGGCCCAGGGCCTCCATGCAGCCCGCCCTGCCCGTCTCGGGACAGCCTGCACCACCACTGCTGTGAAGACAGCCGCGCGGTGCCGTTCAGGGTGCCCACGACAGCCCAGCGCTGCTTCCTAACCTCTGCCCCGCCCTGGCTCCTGGTACCACCAGCTCCCCCGCGACCAGACCTGGACCCTGGGAGCTCTCGCTCCCCCCCACAGGCCTGCAGGTGGACCCCAATCTCGGCTTCCACCCCCCCCCCAGCTGCAGCACCACACAGGCCTGCAGGGGCTCCCACCTGATCATGCCCCACGCCACTGCCCCACGCCCTCCACCTCCACCCCCAGCCCGGGGCCCAGCAAGCTCCAGCTGACCCATCGGCGCCCCCAAGGGGCAGAGACCCTCTCTGCATCCCACGTCCGCCCTCCCTGGCATGTTGTGGAAACCCTCGACACTCCACCCACTCAGCTCCGTGCTGGAGCCTGTGCCTGGCCGCGCCCAGGGAGGCCCCCACAGAGACCCCCTCGGAGACCCCCACGGAGACCCCGAGCCCACCATGGCAGCCCTGGGCGTCAAACCAAGTTTAATAAATAAAACAGCAATGGGAGTCAAGGCAGTTTTCACTTCACAGTGTGGTCCCTGGTGGGGAGAAGGGGCAGCTGCCCGACCCCACTCCTGGGGACACAGGGGAGGGGCTGCCCGACCCCACTCCTGGGGACACAGGGGAGGGGCTGCCCCACTCCAGCTGTAAACAGAAACTTGAACAGAACGAGAGGCTGGGGAAGAGAAGGGCCCGGAGCCCACGCAGCTGCAGGGTCGGGGAGGGGCTGGGGTCCGGCCCTCAGTGGTGCGCGCAGGGCGCCCGGGGGGTGGGGGTGGGGTGTCAGCCACCTGTCTCCTTGCTGAGGACCCCTCAGTGACAGGGACGTAAAGTGCAGCTTTTCCTGAAGTGGGGACGGCGGGCGGACGCGAGGTATGTGGCTCCGTGCCCCCCGGGATTTGGCACTGAGTAGCAGCTGCCCACCAGCCCCCAGGCTGGGCAGCCCCACAGCCCAGCCAGGCGTGGGGAGACGGAGCCGACCGGTGCTGAGGGCGCCCGGGGGGAGGCTGCTGGTGCGGGCGGCGCGTCCTGCCCGGTCTCCCCTCGTCTCTGCTGGCTGGAGAGCAGGCGGCCAGCTCTGTCCGGGCCCCGAGGGCCAGGGCCCCTGTGCCCAGCTTCGCGGTAGATCCTGGCAGGGTGGTGCCAGGCACTGACGTGGCCCCGGGTCCAGGTGTGTGCAGGGGCGAGGGCCTGGCCACCACACCCAGGCCCGACTTGTCCTGGAGTAGAGAAGGCGCGGGGCGAGGCCCGAGGCAGGGTCGGGAAGACTGACAGAAGTCCATCTGGGCCTCACGCACCCGCCTGCGGCCGGGGATCAACAGGTCATCACGTTACAGCTGCAGGGAGAGAGCCAGAGCACCCGGGGTCAGCCCCGCTGCACGCAGCTCTGCCCGGGGCCCTCCCCGCCTCCCCGAGAACGGCTCCCGTGTTTCTGCTGCGACGGGTTCCCAAAGCGGTGAGGTCCAGGGCGTGGGCGGCAGAGGCAGCATGAGCCTGGCACCAGCCCACCTGTAACGGTGAGGGCCCTGCGGAGGCGTTACCGACCCGGAAACACCAAATTAAAAGCAGAGACCACCAAAGACACAACCTAGCGGGCGAGCCTGCACCCTCCCAGGCCCTGGGGCAGACCCTGGCGGCCCCCCGGCTCGGGGTGTGGCTGGGGCACGGCTGGGGTGCGGGGAGCCCAGGCAGGGGAGGCACTCACTGTGACAGGGGCTCCGAGTGCAGCCCAGGGGCCGGGCGAGCCGCGTGGCCAGCCAGGAAGGGGTTTACATCCCCAATGCCGATGAGTCCAAACTCAGTGACCGACAAGGCCACCTGCGCAGGGGCCACAGCTTCTCCAGGGCCTCCGTTCAGGTCAACACGGCTGGAGATGAGGGGCAGCTGCTCGGGCAGCGCAAAGTCCACGGCCAGTCTCGGGCTGGCACCCGGCTCTGGGGCAGCTGCGGCCTCAGGGTACGTGGCCAGGGCCGGGGGCCGTCGGGGCAGGGGCACAGCGGGGGGTTCATCCAGCGGCTGCGATGGACGGGGCCCAGGCTCCGAGGACGGGAGGCCGTCGGAGCCCACTGCGGGCTCTCCAAGGCCACCAGCTGTGCCGTCCCCACTCAGCGGCTCTGTAGAAGGTGAACACAGGTGAGGGCAGGGCCCAGGACCCCAGCCCCCAACAGCCCCGCTGAGGGTCCGGAGTAAAGGCCCAGGACGCTCCTCTCACAATTCGGGCTGCACTTCCGGTTGCAACGTGAACCAGTTCCTGGCAACACCTGGACTCTGCCAACTCCTTCCACCCACACACAGCAGAGCCCAGTCCACACCCCAGCCCTGGGAGGTGGGAGGTGGGCAGCAGCCGAGGTCCCGACTGCACCTTTCCAACCAGCACAGAACGAGCCGGAATCGAGACACCCGAGGCCCGGCTGGGCTCACACAGAATCCCATGAGGCTTCGGCTCCAGTGCACGGCACAGGCCACGGGGCAGCCACGGGCCCAGGAGGACGTGCCAGGGGAGCCCCCACTTGTGAGGTGGGGCCGCCGGTTCCCCTGCAGCACGCCCAGACCACAGGCATGGCTGTCTGGGTGACACTCCTCACTGGTGACAGGCCCACAGGATGCTGGGACAGGGGTTCCAGACAGGCTGTGGCCCCACAGGGACGCACTCAGCCCCTACCTGTGCGTGCACTCCTGAAGGGGTCGTGCTCCGAGCGCAGGCGCCCAGGGCCCTCGGGGTCGCTGCCATCCAGATCTTGGTCTGCGTCCCTGTGGGGAGAAGGCACCTTGAGGAGAGGAGACAGCAGGCGGAGCAGATGCCCCCTGCCCCGGGAGGGGACACCCAGCCCCACCAGGCCCCAGCCCCGGGAGGGGACACCCAGCCCCACCAGGCCCCAGCCCCGGGAGGGGATGCCCGGCCCCACCAGGCCCAGCCCCGGGAGGGGACGCCCGGCCCCACCAGGCCCCAGCCCCGGGAGGGGATGCCCGGCCCCACCAGGCCCAGCCCCGGGAGGGGACGCCCGGCCCCACCAGGCCCCAGCCCCGGCAGGGGACGCCCATCCCCACCAGGCCCCAGCCCCGGGAGGGGATGCCCGGCCCCACCAGGCCCAGCCCCGGGAGGGGATGCCCGGCCCCACCAGGCCCAGCCCCGGGAGGGGACGCCCGGCCCCAGCAGGGGACGCCCATCCCCACCAGGCCCAGCCCCGGGGGTGGGGGGGACACGCCCGCACCCTCCCCCCACCCCGGCTGCAATGCACGCACGTGGTTCCAGACGGGACGTACTTCCTCCGGCCCAGCCGCGTCTGCTGGGCGAAGTCGTCGTAGCGCTGGGACCTCTTCCACAGGTAGTAGTACTCCACACACTCGCCCACCGACCGTGTGCGCACCTGTGGGGTCGGCCACCCACCGCACGCACCGCTCAGGCTGCCACCCCCGGCACCGCCCACCTCCAGACCCCCGCCTTCCCCACCGTGCCAGCAGCACAACCCCGGGGCCACAGAGTCCCCGCTGCTCCCAGGCCTGGGGGGCAGCTGAGACCCACAGAGGCCCTGCCTGCCCACCGCACGGGGCGGCCACCCAACCTTCTCTGCGACAGTCCCCACGAGTGAGGGCACCGTGGGGTTTCTGAGACCCAAACTCCAGCGCCTGTGTACGAGGGGCACGGACACACCGAAAATGCCCGCGGCGCTCAGAACGGACACAGCGGCCCCGCCTGACACGCAGGACGCATAGCCAGGGCACTGCCCGGGCTGTGGGCGGGTCTCCACCGGCTCTCACCCCCGCGAGCCCACGGCCCTGCCGAGCTCGTTCTGGCAGAACACGGCCCGGCCACGCTCCACACACACACAGGCGCGCCGGCTGCCCCCCGGCTGGGAGCTGCAGCCAGGTCCTGCCCGCAAGGCTCGTCCCCACGCAGCACGGCGTCCCGCGTGCTCCATCCAAGAACCCCGAAGGGCACACAGCCACACAGCACCACGCTGAGCCAGCTCTGCCAGCCCCCGGGGAGTCAGCACCACAGGGCGGGGGAAGCGGTCGGGCAGACGTGCACAGCTGCCAGCCAGAGGGGCCAAAGCACGGCAGACGTCACCGAGAGGCCCCAGGGCTGCTCGCACAACCGCAGGACATGTGAAAACCCACAGAGGACCCACGTCCAGGGAAGGAGAGGACCCAGGCTTAGGGAAGGAGAGGACCCAGGCTTAGGGAGGAGAGGACCCAGGCTTAGGGAGGAGGGGACCCAGGCTTAGGGAAGGAGAGGACCCATGTCCAGGGAAGGAGAGGACCCAGGCTTAGGGAAGGAGAGGACCCATGTCCAGGGAAGGAGAGGACCCAGGCTTAGGGAGGAGGGGACCCAGGCTTAGGGAAGGAGAGGACCCAGGCTTAGGGAAGGAGAGGACCCAGGCTTAGGGAAGGAGAGGACCCATGTCCAGGGAAGGAGAGGACCCAGGCTTAGGGAGGAGAGGACCCAGGCTTAGGGAAGGAAGTTGGGGATCCAGGCTTAGGGAGGAGGGGAACCAGGCTTAGGGAGGAGAGGACCCAGGCTTAGGGAAGGAGAGGACCCAGGCTTAGGGAGGAGGGGACTCAGGCTTAGGGAGGAGGGGACCCAGGCTTAGGGAAGGAGAGGACCCAGGCTTAGGGAGGAGGGGACCCAGGCTTAGGGAAGGAGAGGACTCAGGCTTAGGGAGGAGGGGACCCAGGCTTAGGGAAGGAGAGGACTCAGGCTTAGGGAGGAGGGGACTCAGGCTTAGGGAGGAGGGGACCCAGGCTTAGGGAAGGAGAGGACCCAGGCTTAGGGAGGAGGGGACCCAGGCTTAGGGAGGAGGGGACCCAGGCTTAGGGAAGGAGAGGACCCAGGCTTAGGGAAGGAGAGGACCCAGGCTTAGGGAAGGAGAGGACCCAGGCTTAGGGAGGAGGGGACCCAGGCTTAGGGAGGAGGGGACCCAGGCTTAGGGAAGGAAGTTGGGGATCCAGGCTTGGGCAGGGCAGAGGTCCCAGCACCCTTGGGTGAGACAAGCAGGAAGCCATGAGACCCCAGCGCACCAGGCTCAGGGGTTCCAGGCCACGCAGTGCAGCAGGGTGTGTGTGGCCCCAGGAGGACACAGCCTCTGTGAGCACGAGGGGAAGCGGCAGGCACGAAGAGGTTCACCCTCCTGAAAGATCTTTCCCAAACACAGCTCTGCCCACGTGGCCTGGAAAGGGGCCCAGCAAGGCCAGCAGAGGAAGCTCTGGTGAGACTGACCCGCCCGGCACCAAGAGGCAGGCCCGGGGCTGGCCCCGGCTGAGGGCCAGGGAAGGGGTGCCCAGGCCAGCGGGAGGGGCGGCGCCCTCACCTTGTTGGCTTGGATCAGGTGGAAGTTCTTCCCGTGGACGCGGAAGCCGTGCTCGAAGTTCCTGCACTCCTCCTCACTCCAGGCGCACAGCCCGTCTGCACACGGGGCCGCGGTTAGTGGGGGCAGGGGCTGTGGAGGGGGCTCCCGGGCCTCGGCAGGAGCCGGGCAGTCAGCAGGGGGACACAGAGGGGGTGTCCAGGCTGTGGCAGGAGCCAGGCGGTCAGCAGGGGGACACAGAGGGGGGTCCCGGGCTGTGGCAGGAGCTGGGCGGTCAGCAGGGGGACACAGAGGGGGTCCCGGGCCGTGGCAGGAGCTGGGTGGTCGGGGGGGACACAGAGGGGGTCCCGGGCTGTGGCTCACCTCGGATCACTTTCACGTTGAACCGCAGGCGGCGCAGAGCCTCCTCCACGTTGAAACTGCATTTCACCAGCTCGTACAGCGCCTGGGGGAGGCCATGCCCGTGTGCCACCTGCTCACCCCGGAGCCAGCAGCAACGGGGTCTACACCACCATCCTGGGAGTGCTGTCTACACCACCATCCTGGGAGTGCTGTTAGGGTGTCTATACCACCATCCTGGCAGTGCTGTCTACACCACCATCCTGGGAGTGCTGTCAGGGTGTCTACACCACCGTCCTAGGAGTACTGTCTACACCACCATCCTGGCAGTGCTGTCTACACCACCATCCTGGGAGTGCTGTTAGGGTGTCTACACCACCATCCTGGGAGTGCTGTCTACACCACCATCCTGGGAGTGCTGTTAGGGTGTCTATACCACCATCCTGGGAGTGCTGTCTACACCACCATCCTGGGAGTGCTGTCTATACCACCATCCTGGCAGTGCTGTCTACACCACCATCCTGGGAGTGCTGTCAGGGTGTCTACACCGCCATCCTGGGAGTGGTGCCGGGATGTCTACACCACTACCATCTCCATGGCAGGTGGTTTAACTTGAACTAGGCCCATGCTGGCCTGCACCAGGCATGACCCCCGGCTCCGCCCCAGCCTGTGGTTGGAAGCCCCTACCTGTTCGCTGTCTCTCACGGTCTCGCCCTCGGGCAGCTGGGCCCCGGCCGTCTCCTGCCACCTCCGCTTCACCGCCCTGTACAGGAACTCCTCCACCTCCCTCTCGGGCAGGACGCTGGGGTCCCAGAGCAGCTGGTCCTCGTTCTCATAGACTGCACGGGAAGAAGGCACCACCCACCCCTCAAGCAGGAGCCGGCTCTCACCTGCTCCACCCTGCGCGCCAGGCTCCCGACTACAAGCTCTGCCCGGCCCGCTCTGGGCTCCCAGAAGCAGGCCAGGACGCCGTCAGGCCCAGGATGGCCAGCGGGTCCAAAGCGACTTCCTTCATCTGGGGAGGGGGACTTGCGAACCAGGACTCTGGGGCTTCTCCACGGGCCTGGGTGGGAGGTGGGCTCCACAGCGACCACGGCCACCTCCCCACGGGGTCCCAGGAGCCACGACAGGGAGCACCGCCCACATGCACCTGTCGGACTCCCTGCCCACTGCGGTGGGGGAGGAGTGGGGAAGGGGTGCGAGAGTGGATTCTGCACATCACCTCCCTGTGCAGGGTGGGGGCCCTCGGAGGGGAGGGACAGGACGGGCAAGGCAGGAGGCAGAGCACAGCGCCAGGCCCGGGGCAACCAGCAGACGGAAGGCCTCTGTCCCTCGCTCTCTCGCTCGCTGTCACTCTGCCTTTCAAGGAAATGAATCTCAGGAGGAAGACCCGAGTGTGTGCTGCTCACACAAGAGAGACAGACCAGCCGCGAGCCACGGAGTCGGCGCCCACACGGCCACGGTGTGCACGCTCCTGCCAGCGGCTTCACATAACACAGACCAGAGATGGCCACAGGCACCCACCGACGGGCGATGACCAGCCCCTCCCAGGGGCCAGAGGGCGAGCGGCCGCCAGGGTGAAGTGAGAACACAGCGGATGGGAACAGCAGTTAACCTCGCCCACCTGGGTCCACGGGAAACTCAAGAAACCACCACCCACACACTCTCAAAACCCACGGGACGTTTACCAAACACCCTGCACGCTGCACGCTGCCCCTGCACACTGCACACTGCCCCTGCACACTGCCCCTGCACTCTGTACTACGCACTCTGCACACTACCCCTGCACTCTGTACTACGCACCCTGCACTCTGCACACTGCCCCTGCACGCTGCACACTGCCCCTGCACACTGCACGCTGCCCCTGCACTCTGCACACTACCCCTGCACACTGCTCCTGCACTCTGCACACTGCACGCTGCCCCTGCACACTGCACCCTGCACACTGCCCCTGCACACTGCACCCTGCACACTGCCCCTGCACACTGCACTCTGCACGCTGCCCCTGCACCCTGCACACTGCCCCTGCACACTGCCCCTGCACCCTGCCCCTGCACTCTGCCCCTGCACACTGCCTATCTCAGCTCAGAGCACAAGCCACACCCACAAGGACAGGAGGGAGAGCCAGAAAACACCAGTGTTTGGAAATTAAGCAGAAAACGGTCTAAAAAGATACCCTGGAACCTACAATATGACAAAGCAACAAATAAAAATAAAGTGAACACCAGTCACACTGAACTCCAACAACAGGGAAACCAGCATTGATTCTCTGTAAAGAGCAATAAATCTGACAGGGAGGGGGAGGGAGGGGAGGGGAGAGGGAGGAGGAGGGAGGGAGGGAGGGGAGGGGAGGGGGAGGGGAGGGGAGGGGAGGGACGGTGCCGACAGAGGTGGCTTCAGATGAAGGTCATCAGCTCCTCAGAACCCACCTCCTCGCACAACAAACTCTTAGCAGGTCCCGTGTGCCCACGGCGCAAATCCAGAGAAACCGCCACTCGAACAAAGAGAAGCGACCCAGGCCCAGAGCGCCACCTGTGCAGGCTCGCTCCCAGGAGCCACACGAAGCAGCACCGTCGGCCAATCAACACACACTCCAACCAAGACGGACGAGCTACCCAGTGCCGAGGAGGGCGGCCGGTCTTCCACGGAGCTGTTATTAAACACGGCGAAGCCGCAGAACTCACAGGCACACCACACCCGGGCTGGGAGCGCCACACCCGGGCACCGTCTGCCCCCAAACCACCGCAAGACTCAGAGCAGGGAGAGTCAAAAACCTGTCAGGATCAGTGCAGCCGCCGCCAGGCCGACCCTGAACACCAGTCGGAGGCCCCGAGACCACCGCAGACCGGCTGCAAGGCTGCACACCAGGGCAGTGCAGGGCCGAGCCAGGCACGGACACCGGGAAGGCCCCGCCCGGCGTGAGCTGGGGAGGGCGCCCTGCCCGCCCACCTCACACTGAGTCTGGATTAAGTGGGACCAGAGCCTTAAGTACAGACAGGAAACAAAGCTTCCAGGAGGGACCAGGCTCTCCCAGCGGCTCCCAGCCGTCAGCCAAGCACCAAGGGCACACGTGCACCTGTGACCCACCGTGGGCAGACGCCGCCCCCCATCAGCCAACAGCGGAACAAAAAAGCGAGCAGGGAGCCTATGCAGCCACACTCGACTGAGAGGAGCCGACAGGTGCAACCCAGCGAGCCGCGGCCAGCACTCGGCCCAGGGCCCTGGAGGGGTGAGCAGCACAGAAGGGTCCCGAGGAGACTCGAAGGCAGGTTCCACACGGGGGCAGCACGTGCACCCCTGTGGGGGCAGGAAGGTGCCTCGTCCCTGGCCCTGGGTCTCCGGCTCAGCTGTGCCGTCCTGGTTCACCTGCACCATGGGACACTGCCAACCGACGGACGGCTCCGTTCACCCGTGCCACGGCCTAGGCTTCCCACCCCTGCTCCCAGCTGCACAGTCGTCTGCAAGGAGCGTCCCGGGCAGCAGTGCTGACCAGGCTTCCGGGGTGCACCCAGGGACGCGAGCGGCCTGAGCAGGGCCCCAGAGTGACGAGCCGGGAAGGCTCCTCGGGGAGCGCGTGTGACAGCGTGGGAAGGGCGTGCACGGCACTGGTGAGGACAGGGACAGGACCACAGGCCTCAGGGCAAGGGACGCGGCTCTGATGGGGGTCTCCTTCCTACTGCCACCCCGGTCTCAGCCCAGGGCGGCCAGTGGGCACCGAGGGCAGGCCCCAGACCCCCAGCAGGCCCGTGGCCGGCAGCCACGCCGCGGGAGTGGGCTCTGCACCCCTGCTTCCCCTTGGGTCCTACTCACTCTTCTCGCTGTGCCGGTTCAAGTGCAGACTGCTGAGGTCAGCTTGGAACTGGGGCCCCACCATGATCTCCTGCAAAGACCACGAGGGGCAGGGCCTGAGGAGGCGTCCAGACAGGCCGGCTGCCCACCGCCCAGCTGTTGTGTGAGGACCAAGGCCCGGCTCTGAGTGAGAGACCGAGTGTCAGACAGGACGCCAGGCCGGGCCCCGGGGAGGGGACGGACGCCCTGAGGTACGGGGAGGGCCGTGCGCCAGCTCGTCGCCTACCAGGAAGGGGCTGCCAGGGTCCCGGCCCAGGGCCAGGCGACGGCAGAGCCACGCACCTTCTTACACTTGTTGGCTGGGAGCGCATCCTCGGTGTCGGAAGAGGCAGAGGAGCCAGGCTCTTTGTCGTCGTCAGCCAGGAACCGGGCTTTGGGAAGCGGGCTGGGTTAGGCTCATGTGTGGCACTGGGCAGCGTGCCCCGGCAGGGGTGGGGAACCCCAGGGTCCCACTGCCTGCAGCCTGCCATCCCACGCCTTAGGCGCCGACCCCCACGCCGTGACCCCCGGCACGTGACGAGCTGGGGACCCCGAAGCAGCCACAGAGAGGCAGGCGGCCCCGGGGACAACACAGCCCCTCCCGGGGGAACCCCCGGCTCTGGGCTCCGAAGGGGACAACACGCCCCCTCCTGAGCTCGGGGCCAGGGCCGCCCAGCACCCTGGCCGGGCAGGAGGCACCCGCATAGCCCTCGTGGGCGTCGGGGCCAGCTGACGGGGAGGAAGGCGAGAGACACGTACATGCACCCTGGCCGGGGAAAAGGTCAGAGGCCTCGTGGGAGGTCACAGACGGGGTGAGGTCGTCAGCAAAGGACTGCGTCTCTTCCTCCTCCTCCCCGGAGAGCAGATCCTGCGCTATCTGCTCCTGCGGACGACAGCAGAGCGCGCCGTGCAGCTTGCCGCGGCGGGCTCCCACACCGACGGGCACACGGCCACGACCACCCTCCCCACCGGAGCACGGCACAGAGAAGACGCGGAGGCCGGCCGCGCGCACGCCGTGGGCAACGTGTGTCGGGCACTCAGGCCCCAGCAGAAGGACCCCGGGCTGCGGGCGCCAGCCCAGCCCCTGGCCCCCTCTCGCCCACCTGCTGCTCCTGCCTTCTGCAGGGGCTGCTCCAGGGGGCCCTCACTCACCTTGTCCAGGGTCATGTCCGGGAGGTTGGGGGCCACATCGCCACCCTCGCTCTCCTGCTCTGAGATGGGGTCGGAGGCCTCGTAGCCGTAGAGTGCGAGCAGCTCGTCCAGGGGCATGTCGCTGCTCTGGGGGGAGGGGAGGAGCCCGTCAGGGGCAGCTCTGGGGTGCTGGTCCCCTCCCTCCTGGCTCAGCCGGCGCGGCCTCCACAAGCAGGACCACTTGTTGCACAGCTCACGGGGCAGCCCTGTGCCCAGTCCTCGGTGCAGGAGAGCCCCACGGGACCCTGAGCCTACAGGTCAGCAGCCAGGGCGGTCAGCACCCACTGTGCACAGACTGTGGGGGACGAGTCGGCACCTGGCCACCTCCCACCACAGCTCAGTCCGTAACCACAGGGAAAAGAACAGACCTGGGGAGAGCATTTGGCAAAATCCAGCACCCACTGCTGATCAAAGGAAAACCCTCGGTGGAGCGAGTTAACAGGACGCTCCGCCAGTCGTGGGAAGCCGTCAGCCTGCCGGGGCCCGCGCCAAGGAGCCAGAGCATCACGGCCCAGCACAAACGCCAACGCCAAGCACGGAGGCAGGACAGCACCCACTCCCCGGGGGGAGACACAGCTGTCTCCAGTGCTGCTGGCACCCCTCTGCACCCCTGCCCCGTGCGACCCTCTCTCGACTCCCCTGCCCGAGTCATCGGCTCCCAGCTCCCCGGAAAGCCCTGCGTTTCTCAGAGGGCAGCACCTGCCCTCCTGCTAGGCTCCTGCCGCAGGGGCTCCAGCTGCCATGGACCACACCCCAAACCCCAGCCCTCCCCCAAGGCTGCCGTTCACACGCCTGTGCTCGTCCCTGGCTGGGGAGCTACCGCGGCGGTCCAGCTCCCGTGAGGGAGACCCTGGGAGGCGACGCCCCGTCCACAACTCGCCAGCTGCAGAGGGGGTGAGGCAGCGCCCTGCACCCAGGGGAGCAGGCACCCAGGCAAGGCTGATCCTGTCACCGTCCCCACGGGCTGATACACCACGGGTCAAATGGGTGACTGTCCTAAGCCCCACCTGGGCAGACACTGGACGGGCACACCCTCATCCAAGGGACACAGCACCGCCTGGCCCCTGCCGGCGGCCGCACCTACAACACGAACCCAGGCTGCCCCCTCCAAGGGAACCACAGCCAGCCGGGCTGACAGAGCCCAGATCCGACACAGACCTGATCCGCTCAACACTGTCCCGTCCTGCAGCACCGGCCCAAGCCCAGCGGCTCACTGTGTCCTGCAGCTCCGGCCCAAGCCCAGCGGCTCACTGTGTCCTGCAGCACCAGCCCAAGCCCAGCGGCTCACTGTGTCCTGCAGCTCCGGCCCAAGTCCAGCGGCTCACTGTGTCCTGCAGCTCCGGCCCAAGCCTAGCTGCTCACTGTGTCCTGTAGCACCGGCCCAAGCCCAGCGGCTCACTGTGACCTGCAGCTCCGGCCCAAGTCCAGTGGCTCACTGTGTCCTGCAGCACCAGCCCAAGCCCAGCGGCTCACTGTGACCCAGCTCCTGCCGACGCCCCCTGAACCCACGTGGGAGACCCAGGTGCAGCTCCAGCTCCTGCTTTCAGCCTGGCCAGCCCCGGCCATGCGGCCACCTGGACAGTGACTCCGGGGATGCGAGATCTCTGTAATTGCTTTCCAAATACACACAAACGCTCGCTGGGGACGGTACTGCCCACCCCCACGCCTGCGTGTGGACAGGGCCTCAGGTTCGGTGAAGTCTCCAGCCCCTGCCCAGCTCAGCACAGCCAGGCTTCCAGAAACCCACCCTGCACCGCGGGAGGAGGGCCGGTCTGCAGGGTCTGTGACAGAGGCCCCGGACCAGCACCTGCAATGCAGTTTTCTGATCCTGCGCCGCGAGACCCGGGTGCTGTGAGCCAGCGCCGGCAGAGGCTCGGTGCAGGACCTGGGGGGTCACAGCTGGGGAAGCAGCTCTCCACACGTAAGAATGGACCCTAACACAGAGACACAGGAGGGTCCCGGACGCAGCCACCACGTGCTGCACTTGTGCACGGCACCCGGAACACCCACAATTACCTGACAGAGCTGTGCCTCGGCCACAGGACCCCTCACAACCCATCAACCTCACCCTCGAAGACAGCAGCAGGGCTCTCCTAGCTGCTGCTGCAATCCCAGAGATTCTGGACAATGTAAAATCAGTCTTAAGAGTTCTCTGTTTTGAAAAACAGAGCAATGTTTTCATTTTGCTGGACTGCTCTTCTGTGGGTGTGGTCAACAGCCTGGGCACCCCCGGGACCACGCATGGGATCTGGTGCCCCAGGTTTTGTGTCAGGGGCTAGCGGGTCAGGGGGAGACTTGGCCCAGCTGTGGCAGCTGGAGGTGGGCCCGGCTATCCCACCTCCTCAGAAGGGTCAGTTACAAGCCAGGGCCGGCCAGTGAGGCGGCCTTCCTATAACACAATGCTGATGGACACGACACATACTTGGTATATTATTAATGGTGATGACCCATTAGGTATTTTTAAAAATCTCAGTTCTAACTCTGAATAGAGAGCAACGGCTCAGCCACGTCAGCGAAGCCCTGTAAGACCCTCGGCACGTGCCCAGGGGCATCAGGGAGGCCGTGAGCAGGGCTGGTGTAGACACGCCAAGTCCGACATGCTGGTCGGGAGTCCAGGAGGCAGGGGCAGGGCACCTGCCGGCGCTGCTCGTGGGGGCGGGATCTGAGCCACAGCAGCTCAGCCAGTGACGACACGGATGCCCAGGGCAGCTCCGCCCAGGGGAGACACAGACCGCCCGCCTGCCCGCCTGCCCGCCTGCCCGCCCGCCCGCCCAGGAGTACCTGGGAGACCGAGTCCTTCTCTGGCTCCTCCCCGCACTTGTCCGGGCACCTGGAAGCCTCAGCACACCCGTCCCGGACGCTGTAGTTCTGCGACAGGATCTCAGCGAGGCTGAACTGATGGTCTGCAGAGCCCATGGAGACCACTGTGAAGGAGACCCCGGCCCAGGTGAGGACTGTGCTGAGGCCCAGGACGTCTGCCCTGCTGCCCGGGACAAAGCCCAGCCACAGAGGTCACTGGGGGGGTCCCCTCCCTTGGGACACCCACGGGCCAAGAAGCTTGCCTGGCCAGGTACACACCAGACCTGGGGACAGCGCTGTGTAGACCTGGCCAGCGAGCAGACCAGGAGAGAGCAGAAAGGGCAGGAGGACAGAGGCGGCCGCTGCACGACCTCAGGCTGCAGACACGGCTCGGACGTGGGTAACGCCGGACGGCTGCCTGCGTCACAGAGGACGGGCCACACAGGCAGAGCACAAGGCCGTCCACAGAAGCCCTCCCTTCGCTCCGTCCACAGGCCCAGCACTGCTGCCTGAAGAAGCTGTGCCAGGGCCACGCCGTGGCGCCGTGGATGAAGCTGCCGCCTGCTGGCATCCTGTGTGGGCGCCGGTTCACGTCCCGGCTGCTCCACTTCTGACCCAGCTCCCTGCTCACGGCCTGGGAGAGCAGCAGAGGACGGCCCAAGTGCTCAGGCCCCTGACCCATGTGGGAGCCCCAGGTGAGGGTCCTGGCTCCTGGCTCCAGCCTGGCCCAGCCCTGGCCGTTGCAGCCATCTGGGGAGTGAACCAGCAGATGGAAGATTCATTCTCTTTCACTCTGCCTCTCTCTAACTCTGCCTTTCAAATGTAGAGTAAATAAATTTAAAAAAAAAAAAAAGGCAGCTGCGTCACAGGCATGGCCCGTGGATGGTGGCTGTCACCAGACTCGAGGTTTCCCCAGGGGTCACTGCTAAAACAAACAGAATCCAAAATGGGGCAGAGACGCATGAGGCTGGGGGTCTGGGGTAGGGCCCTGGAGGGCAGCCACACATCCACGCCTGGCCCATGCCCAGGACCCCCACCGTGGGTGCTCAGTCAAGGTGGGCCCTGAGGCCCGCATCCTCAGAGGTGTCACCCCCGGGGACAGAGAGGACACGGCCTCCTTCGCAGTCAGCCCCACGGCCGCAGCAAGAGCTCGGGGGGACAGAGGCCCCCGCCCAGCACCAGCTCCTTGTGGGGCCACAGCAGGGCCAGCTCCAAGTCGGGAGCTTGATTCCAACCCGCAGCAGCTCAGGGGAGGGGCAGGACACGGGTGTGTGGCCGCCAGGCACCCGCCACCCCTCCTTCCTGGCAGGCCAGCCCCCGGCCCCGGCGAACAGACCAAGAACAGCCTCGGGCCAGGCACGCACCACGTCCAGGCAGGAACACACGTCCTCTGCTGGGCTCTGAGGTGGTGGGGGCGGCCCAGCGCTACACAGGGGCAGGGTCCCGACTCCCAGCCACACTGGCCCATCTGCCCAGGCCGGGGCGGCCACCCCAGACAGAGCCAGCACCCCCGCCGGTGGCTCATCCAGGAAGAGGATTCTGCCTCCAGCCAGCACAAAGGCCTGGAGGGCCTGAGCGGGAGGAGAGCGGGCAGGGAGGTACCTGCTGCGGTCTGCAGGCCGGGCTCCCTGGGGCACAGGCTGCGGGCGAGGCAGGAGGCCAGACCAGGGCTCTGCCTCCCCAGCGAGGAGGCCTGCGGAGGGAGAGAGGCAGCGTTAGCTCAGCCAGCCCACAGCCCTGCTGGAGCTCCTGCGAGGCCGCAACCATGGACAGGACGGGCGCCCACGGCCTCCACCACAACATAGCCATGGAGTCACAGGTGCCCACGGCCACAACCTCAGCCATGGACAGTCACAGGCACCCACAGCCATCACCACAACATAGCCATGGACAGTCACGGGCGCCTACGGCCATCACCACACACAACCTCACACCATGGACAGTCACGGGCACCCACGGCCATCACCACACACAACCTCAGCCATGGATAGTCACGGGCGCCTACAGCCACCACCACACACAACCTCACACCACAGACAGTCACAGGTGCCTACAGCCACCACCACATACAACCTCACACCACGGACAGTCACGGGCGCCTACAGCCACCACCACACACAACCTCAGCCATGGACAGTCACAGGCACCCACGGCCATCACCACAGACAACCTCAGCCATGGACATGATGAGAATGTCGGCTGCACCCCCTTGCTCAACATGGCACTGGGAGTCCCAGTGAACACAAGAAACCAAAAAAAAGGAACTCATACTGTTAAGAAGCAGAACTGTCTCTTTCACTCGTAACACAATTTTGTAAATTAAAAAAAAAAAG